CTATCTATCTATCTATCTATCTATCTATCTATCTATCTATCTATCTATCTATCTATCTATCTATCTATCTATCTATCTATCTATCTATCTATCTATCTATCTATCTATCTATTTATCTATCTATCTAATCTATCTAATCTGTCTGTCTGTCTGTCTGTCTGTCTGTCTGTCTGTCAGTGTCTGTCTGCCTACCTTCCTGCCAGTGAACTGAACTAACGGGATTTTCAGAAATAGGTATCTGGACAATGATATTGTTTTTTTACACTAAACCATGAAGTGATTCTATTCCAGGACTTAGGCAAGTAGTTATCAGTAAAGCTCCACCCTCGACAGCCCAACCCATCTGTTCTCTGATTGGATTGTCAAATTGTCAAATTTGTGATTGACAGGACATTGGCCAATAAGCTGAGAGGAAGACAAACCCAGTCATACTTCGTATCCGTTTAATAAAAACTCACAGGCGTAGTTGTACACTTAGATTTTGGCTTTATATCTGTAAAGAAATCTTGGCAAAAAAAAATTGTAACGAACAAATTTCTTTATATGCATGCACAAATCACAAATTTATTCTACAAGGTTGCAAAACTAATTTACAAGTACAAAATATTTATGAGCAGAATTAGTGTCCATACTATCTATCTATCTTTCTTGGTCTATCTGTCTATCTTCTTGTCAGTTTGTACCTATCTCTGTCTGTCTTTTTGTGTGCCTGTCTGTGATACTGTCTGTGTTATTGTCTTCTGCTCTGTTGGTCTACCTCTTTGTAATTCTAAATATTTTTTGCAGATGAGTCAGGATACAGAAACACGAACAAGAACGCGCTCTAAATCTGTTCGAGGTGAGGACACACACACACACACTTTGGAGACATCTTAAAATATGAAATGAAACAGTTTCAACACTGAAAAGTTTACAATGCACCCTGAGACTAATTCTGACCTTTCATTCATCAAACTCCAAACTCCATGACTTTATTATGGTGAGCTCCATCATAGTTGACTCCATTAAAGTGATGACCATCTTTATTCTGTGATGGCCAAACTTATAATTTATTATTTACCCAGGAAAATCCCATTCAGATCACAGATCCCCTTCTTAGGGGAGGTCTGAGCCTGAAGGCAGTCTAACCTGCATGTTTTTGAACTGTGGGAAGAAACCGAAGCACCCGGAGAAAACGCACACAGACACGAGGAGAACATGCACACTCCACACAGATAGACCCCAGGTCCAAACTGGGGATTGAACTCAGGACCTTCTCAAAGTCAGAGTCAGAGTTTCTTTAGTTGTCATTTGCACAGCATGTGGTACGTGTACAAAATTGGTACAAAATTGTGTACACAGGGTCCCAGTTAAATCCAACAATAAAATGTAAAAGAAAAACATTAATAAGATCTAAGCTATTAACTTAGAAAAATGTTAACCAAAAATACACTAAGCACGAATAGCATAAAAACAATATGGCAAACAGCAACACGAACATGAGTCTGTGTGAGCAGATGGGTACAAATGAACACAGCAACATGAAATAAATCAGCAACATGATGTGATTTTTCACAGTGATTATCCTGGTTAGAGATTCATGAGTCTAACAGCTTCAGGGTAGAAGCTGTTCTTCAGTCTAGTGGTTCTGCAGTTAATGCTCCTTAACCTCCTTCCTGAGGGGAGCAGGGCAAAAAGTGTGTGTGCTGGGTGAGTGGAATCCTTCATGATGCAAGTGGTCCTCTTCCTTCATCTGGAGGTGGATGGAGGTTCTCACTGTGAGACAACAGTGCTAGTCCTAACTTTGTCCTAACTTGAGCTATCATGACATCACACCCTTAACAGATGCTACATTTACAACAGGATGGATACACGTTCAAAGACTAAATCCAATCCAAAGGATGTAAATGTAAAATGACTAATAATGTTCCTTCTTGTTTAAATGTCTTCTGTGTTTGCAGATCAGGTTGGACAAGACATGAAGCTGGAATTAAGGTATATACAATTTCTTCTTTTACAGAACCCCATTCTACACTCTGAATAGCATCATGTTATTATAAAATGTGTTGCTTGTCTACAGCAGCTGTCCCACCCCCGGATGCGATGGCAAAGGTCATGTCAGCGGTAGATACTCACGACACAGAAGGTAGGATTCATCTGGGTAACTTTGTGCACGTGTCCAAGAAAGTTCAATCTGGTCCTCTGGACATTCAAAAAAACAAAAAACAAAACAAAGCAAAAAAAAAATGTAGAAACGTTTCGTCTCTCATCCAAGAGACTTCCTCAGTCTGAGCAGCTGTATTCAGCTCAGTCTCTTAAA